AGTAAGAGTAAAAGGTATTTGGGAAAACGAGTTCTCAAGTAAAAGTAATTGTAGATTAACTGTCTGGACATAACAGCTGATTTGCAAATTGTAGCTTGGAGTGATAAAATATTTCAAAATGCACATGGTGAATTCAAAGATCAGACTGTAGACAGTGTTAATAAAACAGCAGAAAACATGACTATGTGTTGTAGTAGTTTAAAGTGTAAAATATGATGTTGGCTCTTAAGTGTGTTGAGTTAAATGTATTTGTGTGTTTTTACAGATGTCCATGCACAACAGGACAATGACAGCAGAAGTTAAGGTGTTGGGTCATATGTCAGCCCAAACTGAAGCCATATTGGAAGACCGTATTTATTTATTTATTTGGGTCACATGTATATTTTGACATTAATTCATAAACAGTCATATTTAACATATACAGACTGAAAAGGTGTCGGCTGAAGTTTAAGCTTATTCTGCCTTTCCCCTTTATTCCTTTGTCAGAGCTTCATTTTAACATCAGTTCATCTTCATAAATACAGCAGGAAGAAACAAACTAATCAGTAACAGAACAACAAAGTTCTACAGCACAAACTAAGTCTCATATTTCATGTTTCTGTCCAGAGTTAAACATTTAAACTTCTTTATGAAGTGAAAGAAAGTGGTGCACAGTTTGAGGTTTTCTGTACAGTTGTTCCAGAGCTCCAGCCCTTTAACAGATTTACAAAATTTCATAATGTTTGTTCTGATTTTCTTTTTAATAAACACGGTCGTGCCTCTGAGCTCAGATCGGCTCTTTCGGATTTTGAACATGTTCTGTAACGATTTCGACAGGAGATTGTTGTTTACTTTGAACATGATTTTAAGAGTGTAAAGGTAAAGACTAAATCATAAAATTTCAGCGTTTGAAGGTTTATAAATAATGCATTGGTTGGTTTGTTATAAGTTGATAATGTGATGCTCTTATTGCCTTTTTTTGTAGGGTAAAGATTGGCTTTGTATTCGTCTTATATGTATTGCCCCATCAGTATGGACACTGATAGAACCACACGGTCACTGAACTCTCCTGCCAAACCAGGGCCGTCTCCAAGAAAAAACTGTTACTCTCCTCGGGACAATCCTTACGCCAGAGCGGAGAGCCCCCTGCAGGCGGAGAAACAGGCCAGTGGTGAAAGAAAATCACCCAACGCCAGCAGCACAACGGCGTCTACATCAAAGGTAAACTCCCATCCCACACACACACTTTCACACAGGACACAGAGCTCTTCACACTTTTGCTACATCTTTCTTATATCAACCTTAAAACTTAATATCAACCTTAAAACTGTAGTTATGATGTGTTGTTTTTTAACTCTAGAAGTTATAACCCATTATATAGTGCATCTTTAAGTTAATGCAAACTAAAAGAAAGTATTTGTGTGTTTTGACAGATCCAAGAAATGAAAACGCCGCTTGAGGAGTTGTCAGATTATGACGACGTGTTTATTGCTGAAATTGAAGCCATTTTGCACGACTTCATCAGTGAGACAACAGAGGACACATGGTCACCGGGCTCTTCGGCGAAACAGGGGCCGTCTCCATCGAAGGTAAACTCCCATCCCACACAAACAAGTCACACAGAGAAACAGTGCGATTCAAACTTTTGCTAGGGATTTCTTTATATCAACCATAAAACAGTTGTTATAATGTGGTGGTAGATCATTTAAAGTGTTTTTTTTTTTCTGTAGGAGTTGGACCCCGTTACAGAGGAAGAGAAGGAGATGGCAGCCGAACTTGAAGCCATGATGAACGGCTTTATAAGTGAGGACACTGAGAGTAACTCAGGACTGGACTCTCCAGCAACACCGGGGTCCTCCAGGTCACACGGGTCTTCTCCAAGGAAAAACTTTTATTCTCCTCGGAAAAATCCTTACTCCCGACCGGAGACTCTGGAGGTGGCAAAACAGGCCGACGGTGCAAGAAACTCACCTAAAGCCAGTCCCCCTCCGCCCTCTGCATCGCAGGTAAACTCCCATCCCACACACACACTCACACACAGGACACAGAGCTTCAAACTTTAACTGGTTTTCTTTATGTCAGACACTATTTTTTTTCTTGACGTTAACGTTTGGTGCTCTAAAGTTGCATTGTGTAGCTTTAAATGCTTTTGGAGATTTACCTGGAATGTTTCACAGTTTGGTATTACACCTTTCTGTCTTCATGGAGACCAAACCGGACCAAGTTACAGGTCAGGTCTGTGGAGAGGCAAACCCCGCTCACAGTCACAATGCCTGTTTTCATTTTTGAGCTACAAAACTCCCTGTAGTTTAATAAATGTAAGAGCTGATTAATGTCACACTGTGGAACATTTGAGGTAAAACAATGACATATCTATAGAAACAAGCAGGTGACCAACCCCCAGCCAAAATGTGACATACTGCACCTTTAAATTATACAAACGAAAACAAAGTATTTGTGTTCTTTTACAGATCCAAGAAACGTCGATGTCGTGGGATTATTCGACAGACACGGACGAGGACGTGATGACAGACTTTTAAAGCTCAAATTGTTTCTTTTCAGAATCCAGAGGAAAGAAGAGAAGAGGAGCAAGAGTTAGAGCAAGAAGAGACTGAACCAGGTCTAGACCAGGACTAAACCAGGACTAAACCAGGACTAAACCAGGACTAAACCAGGACTAAACCAGGACTAAACCAGGACTAAACCAGGACTAACCTAGGACTGAACCAGGACTGAACCAGGACTAAACCAGGACTAAACCAGGACTAAAACCAGGACTAAACCAGGACTGAACCAGGACTGAACCAGGACTAAACCAGGACAAACCAGGACTGAACCAGGACTAAACCAGGACTAAACCAGGACTAAACCAGGACTGAACCAGGACTAAACCAGGACTGAAACCAGGACTAAACCAGGACTGAACCAGGACTAAACCAGGACTAAACCAGGACTGAACAGGACTAAACCAGGACTAAACCAGGACTAAACCAGGACTAAACCAGGACTGACAGACTAAACCAGACTAAACCAGGACTGAACCAGGACTAAACAGGACTGAACCAGGACTGAACCAGGACTAAAACAGGGCCTAAACCAGGACTGAACCGGGACTAAACCAGGACTAAACCAGGACTGAACCAGGTCTAGACCAGGACTAAACCAGGACTAAACCGGGACTACAACAAAACTAAGTGCTGTATTTAAATGACTCTTGTGTTTTGTGTTTGCAGAAGCCTCCAGCTCCCAAAAGGCTCCGGTGGAGCAGCTCAGTCTAAACGTGGAGTAAGTCACTGTACTGATGCTCTGGGATGATGTCATCAACAGTCCCTGGGGGCGTGATGCCAACTGGAGGCACTGCTGGCTCTGACGTGACGCTCTTTACGTCTACGTTCAGACTCTCAAGGCTCAGTTTGGATTTTTTTGATGTTTTTTGCGAGGTCGTTCACATTTCCAGGTTCTGCCTCCTCAGGTTGACGTGTGGACGTTTGTGTCGTGTTTCAGGAACGTGATGAGCTCAGCGTCACTCAACTGTCGCCTGAATCTCACAGAAATAACAACGACCGGACGGAATGTGGAATATAACACCCGAGTAAGACTAAACCAGGTCTAAACCAGGACTAAACCAGGACTAAACCAGGACTAAACCAGGACTAAACCAGGACTAAACCAGGACTAAACCAGGACTAAACCAGGACTAAACCAGGACTAAACCAGGTCTAAACCTGGACTGAACCAGGACTGAACCAGGACTGAACCAGGACTAAACCAGGACTAAACCAGGACTAAACCTGGACTAAACCAGGTCTAAACCTGGACTGAACCAGGACTGAACCAGGACTGAACCAGGACTAAACCAGGACTAAACCAGGACTAAACCTGGACTAAACCAGGACTAAACCAGGACTAAACCAGGTCTAAACCAGGTCTAAACTGGACTGAACCAGGACTGAAACCAGGACTAAACCAGGACTAAACCAGGACTAAACCAGGTCTAAACCAGGTCTAAACCAGGACTAAACAGGACTAAACCAGGACTGAACCAGGACTGAACCAGGACTGAACCAGGACTTAACCAGGACTAAACCAGGACTAAACCAGGACTAAACCAGGACTTAAACCAGGACTGAACCAGGACTGAACCAGGACTAAACCAGGAAACCAGGACTAAACCAGGACTTAACCAGGACTAAACCAGGACTGAACCAGGACTGAACCAGGACTGAACCAGGACTAAACCAGGACTAAACCAGGACTAAACCAGGACTTAACCAGGACTAAACCAGGACTGAACCAGGACTGAACCAGGACTAAACCAGGACTAAACCAGGACTAAACCAGGACTAAACCAGGACTGAACCAGGACTAAACCAGGACTAAACCAGGACTGAACCAGGACTAAACCAGGACTAAACCAGGACTAAACCAGGACTGAACCAGGTCTAGACCAGGACTAAACCAGGACTTAACCAGGACTGAACCAGGACTGAACCAGGACTAAACCAGGACTAAACCAGGACTAAACCAGGACTGAACCAGGACTAAACCAGGACTTAACCAGGACTAAACCAGGACTGAACCAGGACTGAACCAGGACTAAACCAGGACTAAACCAGGACTAAACCAGGACTGAACCAGGACTGAAACCAGGACTAAACCAGGACTAACCAGGACTAAACCAGGACTAAACCAGACTGAACCAGGACTAAACCAGGACTAAACCAGGACTAAACCAGGACTAAACCAGGACTGAACCAGGACTAAACCAGGACTAAACCAGGACTAAACCAGGACTGAACCAGGTCTAGACCAGGACTGAACCAGGACTAAACCAGGACTGAACCAGGACTAAACCAGGACTAAACCAGGACTGAACCAGGACTAAACCAGAACTAAACCAGGACTAAACCAGGACTAGACCAGGACTGAACCAGAACTAAACCAGAACTAAACCAGGACTGAACCAGGACTAAAACAGGACTGAACCAGGACTGAACCAGGACTAAACCAGGGCCAAACCAGGACTGAACCAGGACTAAACCAGGACTAAACCAGGACTGAACCAGGTCTAGACCAGGACTAAACCAGGACTAAACCGGGACTACAACAAAACTAAGTGCTGTATTTAAATGACTCTTGTGTTTTGTGTTTGCAGAAGCCTCCAGCTCCCAAAAGGCTCCGGTGGAGCAGCTCAGTCTAAACGTGGAGTAAGTCACTGTACTGATGCTCTGGGCTGATGTCATCAACAGTCCCTGGGGGCGTGATGCCAACTGGAGGCACTGCTGGTTCTGACGTGACGCTCTTTACGTCTACGTTCAGACTGCAGGGCTCAAGGCTCAGTTTGGATTTTTTTGATGTTTTTTGCGAGGTCGTTCACATTTCCAGTTAAATGTGACTTGTGTGTGTGTCTCCAGTGTGAACTTTAAACGGTCCATCTCATGAAAAATGAGCTTTTCAGACGTTTCTGCCTCCTCAGGTTGACGTGTGGACGTGTTGTGTCGTGTTTCAGGAACGTGATGAGCTCAGCATCACTCAACTGTCGCCTGAATCTCAGAGAAATAACAACGACCGGACAGAATGTGGAATATAACACCCGAGTAAGACTGAACCAGGACTAAACCAGGACTAAACCAGGACTAAACCAGGACTAAACCAGGACTAAACCAGGTCTAAACCAGGTCTAAACCAGGACTGAACCAGGACTGAACCAGGACTGAACCAGGACTAAACCAGGACTAAACCAGGTCTAAACCAGGTCTAAACCAGGACTAAACCAGGACTAAACCAGGACTGAACCAGGACTAAACCAGGACTAAACCAGGTCTAAACCAGGTCTAAACCTGGACTGAACCAGGACTGAACCAGGACTGAACCAGGACTAAACCAGGACTAAACCAGGACTAAACCAGGACTAAACCAGGACTAAACCAGGACTAAACCAGACTAAACCAGGACTGAACCAGGACTAAACCAGGACTGAACCAGGACTAAACCAGGAACCAGGACTGAACCAGGACTAAACCAGGACTACTGAACCAGGACTAAACCAGGACTGAACCAGGACTGAACCAGGACTAAACCAGGACTAAACCAGGACTAAACCAGGACTGAACCAGGACTAAACCAGGACTAAACAGGACTAAACCAGGTCTAAACCAGGACTAAACCAGGTCTAAACCAGGACTAAACCAGGACTGAACCAGGACTGAACCAGGACTAAACCAGGACTGAACCAGGACTAAAACCAGGACTAACCAGGACTAAACCAGGACTAAACCAGGACTAAACCAGGACTGAACCAGGACTAAACCAGGACTGAAACCAGGACTAAACCAGGACTGAACCAGGACTGAACCAGGACTGAACCAGGACTAAACCAGGACTGAACCAGGACTGAACCAGGACTAAACCAGGACTAAACCAGGACTAAACCAGGACTAAACCAGGACTAAACCAGGACTAAACCAGGACTAAACCAGGACTAAACCAGGACTAAACCAGGACTAACCAGGTCTAAACCAGGACTAAACCAGGACTAAACCAGGACTAAACCAGGACTAAACCAGGACTAAACCAGGTCTAAACCAGGACTAAACCAGGACTAAACCAGGACTAAACCAGGTTTATTAAACAGTGTGTATTTGTCTTGTTTAGATTAATCAGTTGATCATGAGGATTCGATCTCCCAGATCCACGGCGATGATCTCAGGACGAGGACACCTGAGCTGCACCGGAGCACACAGGTCTGACCTGAAGTCACGACACGACTTTACACACACGGACAAATGTAACCCGCCGCCGCCGCCGCCGCCGCCGCCGCCGCCGCCGCGCCGCCGCCGCCGCCGCCGCCGCCGCCGCCCGCCGCTGCTGCGCTCTAAACACAAAGTGAACATGAGTGCTTCCTGTGTCCCGTCGGTTTGAGCTCCCAGGGCAGAAGTGGAAGAACAAGTCACATTTTCAAAGTGGATTAGTTTTATTCTGTGTCGTTTTTCTTGAATTTTTACACAATCTTCCAACTTTTTGGCAGCGTTTGCTCATGTGTGGATCAGAGGCGTCAAAATATCAAAATATCAAAATATCACATAGTTTAATGTGATGATACAGTATCGATATCGTGGACTCATGTATCGATATATCACCAAGAATATTTTTTGGTTTATTTCACTAAATTCTTTTGTTTCAGAGCTACAGTTTTGTTGCTTGTTTAGAGGAAGGAAACTTTGCACAAGAACAAGTGATTTAACAAAGACTTTTAGTGTCACAGCCACAATTTAGACTCGATTTTTATTGAATCGTAGCAAATCAATTTGAAATATATTGTATCGAATCAAAACTGTATCAAAGTATGTATCATATCGTGGCCTGTGTATCGAAGTATCGTGTCCTGTGTATCGAAGTATCGTGTCCTGTGTATCGAAGTATCGTGGCCTGTGTATCGAAGTATCGTGTCCTGTGTATCGAAGTATCCGTGTCCTGTGTGTCGAAGTATCGTGTCCTGTGTGTCGAAGTATCGTGGCCTGTGTGTCGAAGTATCGTGTCTGTCGAAGTATCCTGTGTATCGAAGTATCGTGTCCTGTGTATCGAAGTATCGTGTCCTGTGTATCGAAGTATCGTGTCCTGTGTATCGAAGTATCGTGGCCTGTGTATCGAAGTATCGTGGCCTGTGTATCGAAGTATCGTGTCCTGTGTATCGAAGTATCGTGTCCTGTGTATCGAAGTATCGTGGCCTGTGTATCGAAGTATCGTGTCCTGTGTATCGAAGTATCGTGTCCTGTGTATCGAAGTATCGTGGCCTGTGTATCGAAGTATCGTGGCCTGTGTATCGAAGTATCGTGTCCTGTGTATCGAAGTATCGTGTCCTGTGTATCGAAGTATCGTGGCCTGTGTATCGAAGTATCGTGGCCTGTGTATCGAAGTATCGTGGCCTGTGTATCGAAGTATCGTGGCCTGTGTGTCAAAGTATCGTTGCCTGTGTATCGAAGTATCGTTGCCTGTGTATCGAAGTATCGTGGCCTGTGTATCGAAGTATCGTGGCCTGTGTATCGAAGTATCGTGGCCTGTGTATCGAAGTATCGTGGCCTGTGTATCGAAGTATCGTGACCTGTGTATCGAAGTATCGTGGCCTGTGTATCGAAGTATCGTGGCCTGTGTATCGAAGTATCGTGGCCTGTGTATCGAGGTTTGTATCGTATCGGTGACTTCTTAATGGTGCCCAGCCTTGGCATGCGTAGTGTAACCATAGTAACGGCTGAACATTCGTCCGTAGACATGCATGTACAATCAGATCTCAGTTGTTGTGGTTTTCTCCGCAGTTTGGATGACGCGCACGCCGCCGCTCGGAGATTCGCGCGGATCGTTCAAAAGCTGGGATTCCCTGTCACCTTCTCCAAGTACAAGGTGCACAACGTCTTGTCGGTCTCCCAGACGTTCCCCGTCCGACTGGATGGTCTTCACGAGGAGCTCCGAGGATGTTCCAGGTCAGTCCGCTGCTCCGGAAACTCAACACACGGATTTAGTTTAAAGATTCACTGTGAAAAAGACTCATGTGAGACTGAGACGGTTTATACTTTTACTTTTACTTTCCTTTTGTTGAGATAAGAAATAACCAGGACTAAAGCAGGACTAAACCAGGACTAAAGTAGGACTGAACCAGGACTAAAGCAGGACTGAACCAGGACTAAACCAGGACTGAACCAGGACTAAACCAGGACAAGGTACTGGTTCAGGATGGGTAAACCTTGTACATATGTGTGTGTATTTGTGTGTATTTAAGTACTTTTGTGTATTTGTGCAGTTATGAGCCGGAGCTGTTCCCTGGCCTCTACTTTCACTGTGAAAAAGTCAGGATCTGTGTCTTCCACAACGGGAAGATGAATTTCACGGGTAAAACATCACACACCCCACACACTCACTACATGTGTCTGGAGTAAAGTCACACCACACAAAACATGTGTAACGAAGAAAAATAAAATATAAGTGTCACTTTTTGGGGGAAATTTGTTTTATAAAATGAGAGAGAAGAACAACAGAAGAGAGAACAACAGACTGTAACGTCACATATTTGACTGTTCTTCAGATAAACTATAAACAACAGAACAGAACAAGTTGAACAAACTCTCCATCTCACTCCAAATCACTAACTCTACGTTCACACTGCACCTGAAGTGACTCAGATCTGATTTTTTGTCTCTATGTTCCTGTATCTGATCTTTTAATGTCAGTCTGAACCACACAGATCTGATGTTTTCAAACATGACCCAGGACACTTGGATCTGTGCTCCTGAAACTGATCCATATCTGATCTTTAACATGTGACTTGAGTGTGAACAGTCAGGTCACATTCATCCACCTACACGTCATCAACAAGACACAAACGTCACTATTCTGCACTGAAGTAGAGAAAACTGTTCATGATCCATGTGACTGAAGTGAAGCACATCTCCACTCACCACAAAACACCACCACCAAAAACCTGCTCCTTCTCCTTCTCAATCTCCTCCTTAAAACAAGTCAGTTGTTCATGTTCTGGCTCCGGTACGAGAGGAACTTTAAAATCTCCAGGTGCTCGATGCTGCGTCCATGTTTGTTCAACTTGTGTAAACACAGAGACGCTCGCTGCGGTTGACGTCGTCGTGTCTCCAGTGTCACATGTGGGACACTTTTGGACCGTTTAATGTTCACACTGGAGTCACACACAAGTCACATTTAACTGGAAATGTGAACGACCTCGAAAAAACATCAGAATTGAGCGTTAAGCCCCGAAGTCTGAACGGAGACTAAATCCATTCAATTCTTCATCCTCGGTGTCACTTCTGAACAACTCGGCCTCGACCTCCGGAGGGAAACGTTGCGCCGCAAACTCTTCTGTGTCGCTGTCGTCAGACTCAGCATCAGTTCCAGTTAGAATTATTTGGGTCTTTTTTAAATTTTGTATTTTTCTTAAGGACAACAGAATATAACATTGAAAAAAATACAACGATCAACATTTAACAATTTCAACAATCAGCAAGAAACAGAGACAAAAACGTAAAGCAAAACCCACAACAAATACAAAACAACAACAACAATAACAACAAAAAGCCTCCATTTCCCCCGACCACAAACATCAACACAAATCTGACCAAATTAAACAAAAGTCATGTTGTAGTGCAACACAAACACACCACTAGCCTCCGTCCATCCACACACCGCGGCCACTTCACAACTGAAACTCCTTTTCTCCCAATGTCCCAATACTTAAACCCATATTATTTTCACCATCATCATTTCCTTTAATCATTTTTTGTCATTTTTACAAACTCAAATCATAATTTTAAAGGCATTTTATTCCCATTTTTAAATACATTTTTAGTCCCAATACTTAAACTGATATTATTTCCACCAGGATCATTTTCTCTCATAATTTTTTGTCAATTTTTAGAAACTCAAATCATAATTTTAAAAGCTTTTTTCCCCCTTTTTTAAATATATTTTTAGTCATTATTTTCCTTCCTCGTCTTTCACTGTCCGTCACAATCTCTGTTCTTTTATGGACGGTTTTGGTGTCGCTGAAGTCCAGAAGGAGCAAATCTCCATTCAAATACTGAATCCACCGATGGGGCGACTCATGGGGGAAAAGTCCAGGGGTGTTTTTTTTGGTCCCAGTCGGTCCGTGACAGAACATCGGGTCTGAACACAGAACACGTCTCTGTCTCCTCAAATGTGTTTCCATAGAATGATTCTTTGAAGTGACTCTTGTGTTGTTGTTGTTTTTGTGCAGGGAGCTCAGACCTGACTGCAGACACCAGAGTGTTCCAGAGGTTGTACCGGCTCTGTGCAAGGCCAGGAGTGACAACCAAATATAAACACCGATTTTATTATTAGAATTTTATTAATACAGATTATTATATTTAATTATTTTATTGATATTGAATATTTGTTTGTTGAAAATAAAAAAAATGTTAGAAGGAGCTGTGTGGTTTCCTTTGAGTCTCCAGATTCAAAGCTCAAAAACTTAAAAGTGAAACTCTCTCTGATGTGAACGTTTCTCCCTAAACCCCAGAACCTGCAGCTGATCCTGAGTCAGTGCTAGTGCAGCCTCTGCAGCTCAGGGAAGAAGGAAGTCTGCAGGTTCTGATCTCCACATGAGACGTGAACACAAACTGAGACTGAGACTGAAAATGAAAATGCACTATTTCTGTTCTAAACATATTTAATTTAGAAGTTAAAAAAACATTTTAATTTGATTTAATTGAAGTCTTGAAATGAGAAATGCAGGTCCAACATGAAAAAAAAAAAACAATAAAACAGACACAAGGATCAACTTCAAGACTTTTATTAAAATGTTTCATTTTCTTCAACAGCAGCAGCAGAAAACCTTTAAACAAATAAATAGAATAATGAAATGAAATTTACATTTTCATTAGTCACTGAATCTATTTGCATTTTAATTAATATATTTTAATTATAATATTTGTTAATTTACCTTTTACAGATAAACTTACATTGTTTAAAATTTTAGCTGATTTAACATTTGACTAATTTATTTTTATTCTTTTATTCACACACACTTTTACACACACACACACACACACACACACACACACACACACACACACACACACACACACACACATACACACACACACACACACACACACACACACACACACACACACACACACACACACACACACACACACACACACACACACACACACACACACACACACACACACACACACACACACACACACACACACACACACATAGTAAAACATGAGGCTGAATCCAGGTGAACCAGTTGAGAAAACCTCATCAGAGGAGCTTCTACATCAGGAGCAGAGAGACGTCCACCACCACCAGGAACCACCACAGGCTCCAGGGGAGAGATGAAGCCCAAACACCTGAGGCCCAAACACCAACCCTCCACCAGGAGCCCACAGGACAGACCCCGACAGCCACAGCCCACCTCTGCTCCTGATGCAGAGGCTCCTACAGAGGAAACACTGGAAATCCTCAAAATAGGCCGAAAATACAGAAATATAATCAAATGTGTACAATAAAAACAAGTAAAAGTAGAAGATTTCAATCAAAAGCTGAGCTAAAAAAGGTGGGTCTTGATTCTGCTCTTAAAAACATGAACGTTCTCTTTGGCCCTGAGCTCCTCCGGCTGCAGGTCCATAAACGGGGGCCGTAGTTCTGGAAAGACGCCTCCTCTCCGTGAGTGTGTGTCCTGACTTTGGGAATGAGCAGGAGCTGCTGCCGGAGGAGCGCAGGGTCCACGAGGGTTCGTAGGGTAAAAGCAGTTCTGAAAGATAAGAAGGTCCAAGACCATGAAGACATTTAAAAACCAGTAAAAGAACTTTAAAATGGATCCTGAAACTCACAGGAACCAGTGCAGTGATTTTAAAACTGGTGTAATGTGGTCCCACCTCTGGTCCTCGTCAGGACTCGTGCTGATGAAGTTTGTAATAATTGCAAACCTGAAATAGTGTTTTTGGGAAGAGCAGAGAGCAGGACATTACAGTCGTCTGTTCCACTGGTGATAAAAGCATCAGCGTCTCTGTGTCGGCCCCAGACAGAATGGGACAGACTCTGGATATGTTTTTTAGGTGATAAAAAACAGTTTTTGTGATGTTCTTAATGTGTGGGATCAAATTCAGCTCAGAATCAAAAATGGGTTAAGACTGTGTTTGTAGTTTGGGTAAAAGTTTCTCTCTCTGGGCCTCAAGACCAATGACTAAAAGCTCAGTTTTGTCCTGGTTAAGCTGGAATGAACTCTGCATTCAGTTTAGTTTGTTTTCATTGATATTTTGTATGGAGTAAGAAGCTGTCAAAAATATTTGTGCGCATAAAATAGAAATCCGTGCATATTTGGTAAATCCGTGCATATTTGGCTGTAGTTGCGCATAAAATAAATATTTGTAAACTCTTAAATGAGTCCAGTCGTACATAAAATATATTGTGTGTATTTTATCCATCAGAATACGAATTGAAAAGTTACGACGTCAAGAATTACAATGAAAATTTACGATTAC